ATGATATACGAGATAGAGTTGGGGTAGCACCAATTGAAGAGAAGCTTGTCCAACATCGTCTGAGATGGTTTGGACATATTCAGTGCAGGCCTTCGGAAGCTCCAGTGCATAGCGGACGGCTAAAGCGTGCGGACAATGTCAAGAGAGGGCGGGCTAGACCGAATTTGACATGGGAGGAGTCCGTTATGAGTGACCTAAAGGATTGGAGTATCACCAAAGAACTAGCTACGAACAGGGGTGCGTGGAAGCTTCCTATTCATGTGCCAGAGCCATGAGTTGGTCGCGAGATCTTATGGGTTTCACCTCTAGCCTACCCCAACTTGTTTGGAACTAAAGCCTTTGTTGTTCTTGTTGTAATTTTCCACAAGCATTTTCAGCTTTTTAGATGGTTTTTTCGGGGGGTTTCGGCTTTCAGGTTTCCACCTGTCCTTCTTAGCTTTTCAACAAAAAAACATCAAAAGAATTGCGTGAAACAATGCGTTTTATTTTTTTTATTGCTTCCGCGAGAGGCACGGTCGTGCCTCTCGGAAACGAAAAAAACATATTCTCTTTTTTTTCTTTCGTGAGAGGCGCGGTTTTGCTTCCGCGAGAGGCATGGTTTTACTTTAGCGAGAGGCATGGTCGTGTCTCTCGAAAATGAAAAAACGTGTTTTCTCTTCTTTTTTTTTGCACAGAGGCATGGTTTTGCTTCCGCAAGAGGCACGGTCATACCTCTAGGAAACGAAGAAAATGTGTTTTCTCTTTTTTTTCTATGAGAAGCACGGCTGGGCCTCTCGGAAACGAAAAAACATTTTCTTCTTTTTCCTTCCGTGAGAGTGTCTCTCGTAAACGGCTTTTGGAAAGGGAAAAAACGTGCTCCCAGTTTGGTTTTGTCATCTACTTTTTTATGAAAAAAAGTTCGTGAAAACTTATCAGCATGTGATCTAATTTTGAAGACCTCAACGCGACGAATTCATGCTGAAAACAGTTTAAGATTTGGACGCACGGTTTAAGAGATAGAACATTTTGAGTAAATAGATCTACGGAAAAAAAATGAAAACTCCACAAGTGATGCACATGCAGTACACCACTAGTTGCAACCCACAAAGATGAGAATTATCTTCGAAAAAAGTACTCCTCAATTAGTGATTTCGGGAATCCATCTCTGGTCTTTTGATTGAACACTCGATACACTAACAACTCCGCCCAACCTCCTTTTGTGGTAAGAACAAGGGGCGCCACCTACTTGAGGCTACTCGAACCAAAATTCTTTTTGAGATTTTTTCCTTTTTTAATGTATTTCTTTTCTTTTTTTCTTCTTTGTTTTTCTTTGGTTTTCTTTATCTTCGTTTTTCTTTCTTTTATTTAGATTCTTTTTTCTTCTTTGTTTTTTCATTCCTTTTTATATTTTGTTTCTTTGTGTTTTTATTTTATTTTTCCTTTTGGTTACTTTGTTTCTATTTTTGTTTTTCTTGTATGTGTCAACAATATTTTTCAAATACACGCCTAACATTTCTTCTCATTTTTTGTTTTTTCTTATGTTTGTTTTCGTTTTTACTCTACATTTCTGTATATGTCAAAAATATATTTTTTATATGTGATTAAGATTTTTTTATACACGTTCAACATTTTCCGAACGCTTATTCATTATTGTTTAAAGTTCAACATTTTTCAAATACATATTCAATATTTTAAATACTTATTCAATATTTTCAAATACTTGTTCAACATTTTTGAAATACTCATTGAACAATTTTTAATACTTGTTCAATATTTTTTAAATACTTTTTCAATATTTTTAATACTTATTCAAAATTTTCAGATGCAAGTCAACATTTCTCAAATACTTGTTTAACACTTTTTTCATACTTCAATATTTTGAAATACTTTTTTAACATATTCCAAAATGTTTTTTGAAGAGTGTTTTTTGTATATATATGTAGAATATTTTAAAATATAAATAAAAGTAAGAAAATAAAGCAAAAAACGAGAACAGAAAACAGAACAAAAAACGAAAAAACAGGCCTCTGCCTCGCGCGTGGCTGGGCCGGCCCATCTGGGCTCCCCCGGACGCGAGGCGTCCCCATGTGCTCGCTTAAAGCGAGAAATAGCGGGATGTCCTATGCGCCGCATCTTGCGGCAAACAGTCGCAGCTTCGCATAGTCGGGTCGCTGCCTGGGCCGGCCCATCTGGGCTCCCCCGGACGCGAGGCGTCCCCATGTGCTCCCTTAAAGCGAGAAATAGCGGGATGTCCTATGCGCCGCATCTTGCGGTAAACAGTCGCAGCTTCGCATAGTCGGGTCGCTGCCTGGGCCGGCCCATGAAGAAAACGATCGGAAGCGAATCATACAGTAGCTAAAAAATTAAGCCACCCTCACCAGGTATCGAAAACAAGTTCTCAACTAACAGACCACGAAATACAACCAGCTGAGCTACTACAGGTTATCAAACGTAAAGCAACGTAAACCTTTAAGAAGCAACATACACCCAGATCCGAAAATTTTTAAGAATTCCGAACGCTTTTTTTGAAAAAAAAACCTGAGTGTTTTATGAAACACAAACACTTCTCAACTTTGTAAAAGAGCTTTGACAAACGAAAACATTTTCAAAAACAGGAACTTTTTCTGAATTTCTGATTATTCTTTTTGGAAATTGGAACATCCCTGAAATTCCCAAACATATCATAATTTGTGAAATATTTTCGAAAAATGAACATTTATTGAATTGGTGAACAAATTTGGAAAACAGGAACATTTTCTAAAATTCCTAGGTTTTTTTAATATGTGAACAAAATTGAAAAATGGGAAATTACTCTGAATTTGTATTGTGCGAACATTTTGGAAAATTGCAAACATAGTCTTGTTGCCACGAGCATTTTTCAGAAAGGATGAACATTATTTTGAAAGTGCGAACATATTTCACAAAGACGAACTTTGTTTTGAAAGCACGAACATTTTTCAAAAAGACAAACACTTTCCAAATTGCGAACATTATCTTGAAAAATGTAAATTTGTTTTGAAATTTGCAAACATCTTTTGAAAATGGGACATTTTTCATCTTTACAAACATTTTGAATACACAAACATTTTTCAAAGTTTTGGAACATTTTTTAAAACAATTTAAACATTTTTTGAAGTGCACGAACATGTTTTTTCATTTTTGAACATTTCAAACATTGTTTTGATTGCATGAGCATTTTTCAAAAAAGACGAACATTGTTTTGAAAGCGCGAACATTTTTCACAAAGATGAACATTGTTTTGGAAGCGCGAACATTTTTCAAAAAGATGAAGATTTTCCAAATTGCAAACATTATCTTGAAAAACATGAATTTGTTATGAAAGTTAAGAACATTTTTTTGAAAATGTGACATTTTTTGACTTTACCAACATTTTGAATATGGAAACATTTTTGAACATTTTTGAACATTTTTTAACTTTACTAACATTTTGGATATGGAAACATTTTTTCAAATTTGGGAACATTTTTTAACTTTATGAACAATTTGAATACGGAAACATTTTTTAAAATGGGAACATTTTTTAAAATGGGAACATTTTTTTAAACATGAACATTTTCTAGAATTTGGGAACATTTTTCTGAAAACATGAATTTGTTTGAAAACCCCAAAAATATTTTCATATTTGGGAACAATTTTGTATTCTAAACATTTTATAAATTTTCGAATTTTTCAAAAAAGACAAAGAAAAAGAAAAGAAGAAAGAGACAGAAAAGATTAAAAAAACATAGGAAAACCGAAACAGAAAAAACCACAAAGAAAACCAGCATTGAAAAACAACAGAAAAATAAAAACCGGTTCGGGGAACCTTCCCAAAACCGGGAGAAAGCCCCCCGCAATAGCCACGCTAACCGCTCAATGGGCCGCGGCCCACTGACCTCTTCGCGTCGCTCCCTTCTGCGAACCTCCGTCATTTTGACGCAGAATGCGTCAAATAGGAAATTCCAGAAATAGCGGTGCACCTTGTCACTTGCCTACGCGGCTGGTTGCGCTAACCTGTATACAAGCCCACAAACTAATCTGCATACAATCGAACGAATCTCACGTCGCCTGAGAATTAAGAAATTCTCAGGCAACTCAGAATTAGCAATTCCGTTGTCTTGTCTCAGAAAAAAAAAAGCAATTCCATTGTCTACTTTGTGCACCCCGTATGTCAAGACGCTTCAGTTTTATTTATTTTTAGATTTTTTCTTATTTTCTCTCTTGGAAATACAGGTACCGCCCATGATTCGAAAAGGCATTTCGATTCCATCGCCACCATTTGCATTTCTAACTTCTCGGGTCTTATACATTCCTTGAAAGTTCTCAATGACGGAATCATCAATCAAAAAAGAAAAAAACATACACGGTACATGCCAACCACGAACCAAAATTCAGTTAAACAAAGAACGAGTCACGATTCGGCATCAGCTATGGGAGGAGTCAAGGATGTCCCGGAAGCAAATTTAAGTTCTGAGACACCATCGTGAAGAGATCAGACAAATCCATCCTTTTCTTTTCTCACTGTTAACAGAATGTATCGCCTGCCTGCAACAATTAAAAGAACTTCAACTGTCGAAGATTTTTCCAGAATCCTTCTATAGGGCACTTGTAGTTCCAGGGCTTCAACCCACACAGTACGTCACATTCGCGTTGTGTGCCTCTTCAGCTTGAGATACGCGAACTGAACAATACATTCAGCAATCAGCGAGTCTGGTTAGCTTCAAAATGGCTTCAGTAAACCACCGTTCATGATATGCCTGATCATCCATAGAAAGAAAACATGTTCCTCAGTTACACATGCACACGTACCAGATGAAACGATATTGAAATGTTAAATCAAACAACTCACCGCGTGCATATACTCTACATCAAAAATAGGTGTACCCCGTTTCAGAATATGAATCTCTGAACCGCAAGTAGGAAGATGGTTAGAACTTATAAGAGCAGAATAATAAGTTATTATGCTGGATAAGGAAGCAAATGAAAACCTTCTGGTGGCTCTAGCTGAACGGAACTGAAAATCAGCACAGCTCCAATAAGCAAACACACTCAATATGAGGAGTGTGGGGAAACATATCGACAGGTATTACACGCTTCAGCTCGTAGCACCCGCTCAGGCCTTTCTCCTCCTGCGGGCAAATTCATTGGAGAAGCAGCTAAGCATTGCAACGGACCCAAAATATGAGAAAGCTGGTAAAAGTAGCAGCAAACATACCACGCCATGACATAGATAGTCCAGATCCCGTGCACAAGTAGCTGGATTACACGAGACGTACACTATTCGAGGGGCTTTAACTTCCAGCAGCCACTTGATTAACTTCATGTGCATCCCAGGACGATTAGGATCTGAAGAATTCATCAACAAAAAGTAGGTCTTAACAAAACAGACTGGAATTTCATCTGATAGATCATAACTCTCTAAATTCCAAAATATCTCATGCATGTCGGTTGCATAAGTTCAGCAAACAAACAAACAAAAAATCTATATCTAGAGGTGATATTAGCAGCTAGTGAATATTTCAAGACAAAATTCAGAAAGCATTGTGGTTTTCACACAAAATTTCGAGGGAGAATCAGGAGACTAGTGGATTCTGGTGCCGAAGAGTTACAACAAATTCTAAGAAACACAAACCTGATATGATTATGTCAGGCTTTGGAAATTCCTTCCCAAATGTTTCGTTGATTTTGTTAAGGTCTCCCTGAACAAATGTAGCATTACTGATACCATTCAACTGAGCATTCTTTTGGGCATCCGCAATGGCTTCAGGGACAACTTCATATCCATAAACATGCTTTGCACTGGGCAAAAGAAGAATGCTTAGTAACTGTAGTTTTATGTTAACCAGATATAGAAGTTAGCCAGTGGTTGGTAGCTGTTGCTAACTTGCTATCTCAAAATAGCTACCACCACAAGGACGCCTACCTTCTAGCAAGAGTCAGCCCAATGGTTCCAGTTCCACAAAACAAGTCAAGAACAATCTCAGAGCCATCTCCTTTAAGCCCAGCAGAATCTCCAATAAGCTTATAAAGAACATCAGCCTGCAAGAAAACCATGCTACTTTCATATGCAGACATGGGGAACGTATTGATAAAATTTGAAGTACTAAACATCCAGCTAGTACACCACCAGAAACTGACTTCATTTCAACAATCATATTTCTAACATTCAGTAGTTTCTTTCAGCTGAGTAAATGTGCAACCTCCTCATATATGCTATTTTTAAAGCTATTTGCATGCTTCCATTGAAATTAAACAGCCTAAAAACATAGGAGATGCATGACATGACATGCTGCAATGATGATTAGAAAAATATGTTACCATGCGATTCATGCATTTATACATAAACAAACCTGTTTTGTATTAGTCTGGAAAAAGGAGTTGGCAGATATCTGGAATGTAAGTCCTCTCAACATCTCTGTAATGGTCGGTTTCCCGTACAAGGTATATTCTTGCTCACCCACAGATGTATTGCCAACAGATGTATTCACATTATTTACGACACTTACCTACATTAGCAGTACATGAATATCAATACTGGTCAGCCAGGATAGTTGTGGCATAAAAGAGTTCTACTGGGATATATGATTGGCTAAGTAGATTAAACACCATGTCAGGAAAGATTCAATTATGTACCACTTCAGATATTTTTGTGATTCTATCCACAAGAGGCACCAGTAGCTCAGGTTTATAACATGATGTCACAAAATTGACCATCACTTCTGGAGCTCCAGTGCTGACATTTCTGAAAGGAAAAAACGGAATCTTTAAAGCGTCCATCAAACAAAAAGATTGCTCAAAAAGTAACAAAAAGTTGAATGGCTCCTTTGTTTGGTGGCAAACAACATGACCTGCCCCTGCCTTAACAACTATACTTTTTTAATTGGAAGATTTATAAATAATGCCTTTCTAGATATCAATATATGGCCAAACAGCTAATGAGGCCAAAGATACAAAACGGAAAATTTCACACTTTATCAATTCAATTTGTTATGGTATACTAGTTTATTTGAGTGCATTGTATCAGTACCATTCTGTCATTATGTTGTGGCAATAATATTAATATATCTACAACTATACTATGCATAAAATTTTCATGCAGTAAACAGTAAATATGATACTCCCTCCGTTCCATAATGGCGTATAGATTTTTCGAAAAGTCAAACTTTGCAAACTTTAATCAAGTTTATACAGAAAACTATTTATATCTAAGATACCAAATATATAAAATATGAAACTACATCTTATGATGAATCTAAAGATATATTTTTGGCATTCTAGATGTAAATATTTTTCTCCATAAACTTGGTCAAAGTTTGTTAGGTTTGACTTTTCAAAAAATCTATATGCACTACATTATGGAACGGAGGGAGTATCATACTATGAATCAAAACGCACATCCAGATTCATGAAAAGTGATATACACAGCATCAGCTGCATTACTGTTGGATCAAGTGGGGAAAAACAATCAGATAGGCCACCATACCTTCCAGTTCGTATCATTAGATGCTTGAGAAACCCAGTGTGCTTGTAGACATCGTAAGGCGTGAGGCCAAGAGCCGGATCCGTCCAACTTCCTTGAACAACTGCAAGAACCTATGGAAATTAGCAATTAATCAATTCAACATCCTGTAATCAAACACCAAAAACGAATGTGCTATGTGCATTCAATGATAGTACAGTAACATCACACACAAAAAAGTGAACAAACAAACAAACAAAGCCAAACTACACCAGACCTCTACCAACACCAGTTAACACAAGGGTGCCAGAAATATAGCCAAGCTCACTAGTTCCCCAACGGCACAGCATTCGCAATGCAATACGGCACAACCAGTCTAGCTTTGACACAATCACCAGATTACATAGTTGTAAAACTTCTAATAAAGAATGATCCTAAGAGTTGAAAAGATAGATTTAAGAAATATATTTCAGCATATAAGCAAAATCATCTTAGCAATTCATCTGCTTGTTTTGTCTGATATGGCAATACATTTCCAATGTTCAGAGGATTAAAAGTCATAGCTTTAGAGTATCAAGCTAACCAGCCAGAACAGTATGCATGCTGCTACCACCAAGCTAACAATTCGAGTTATATATCTCTACCATCCGACATCCCAATCAATCAAATACTCTTTTCTCAGTAAGTAAATCAAGTACATTCTCATCAACAAGTTCATTACCTTATCTGCTGGCTCACTGTGCAGAAAGCACGTCTCGACGTGAAGCACCTTATCAAAGAACCCTGGTGCATGGAGGCCAAGTGAATAACCATCAGTCTCCACCTCTTCCCCCTTCGACACCTCCTCTTTCTCCTCCTTCCACTCCCTTTTCATCCACCTCTTCGTCCCAAACGAGAACTCCATCTACAAACATGGCCGCAAATGCATCACCTCCCACACCCCAAACCCTTCCTAAACCCCCAAAGGCCCAAACCCAAACCTCACCTTGTTCCTGTACCGAAATATCTCATCGCACGGCACGATGGGCTTAAGGACGGCATCTGAATCCGAGCTCTCCAGCTTCCTGGGATCAAACTTGCCGAAATTTACCAGCAGGTCGCGGACCTGGACGTACTTGTGGTGGATTTGCGCAGGGTAGGCCAGGGACTGGCTCTTGCAGCCGCCGCAGTCGGCGGCGAGGGGGCAGGGGGCCTCGACGGCGTCGTGGTGGGGCGAGAGGGTCTTGAGCTTGGCGGCCTCGGCGAAGGCGCCGCGGCGGAGGCGACGGACGCGAGCAACGAGGCGCTCGCCGGGGAGAGCGCCGTCGCAGAGCAGGACGAAGGAGGAGCCGTCGACCTTGCAGACGCCCTTCCCCTTGAAGGCGAGCCCCTCGCAGGTCAGCTCGAGGATCTCGTTCTTCTTGGGGAAGTACCCCTTCCCGCGTGGACGCGCCGGCGGCGGCGGCTGGGACGGGGTGGGGGCAGGCGCGGGGGCTTCCGAGGCAGCGGCCGCGATGTAGAGGAAGCGGCGGTGATGATGGAGGGGTATGCGGCGGCGGAGGAGGGTGCCGGAGAGAGGGGAGAAGGCGCCAGCCGCGGCCATCTGGGCGGCGGCTGTGGCGCGGTGAGGATTGACGGCGGACGGTGGAGATGGCGCGGCAGAGAAGCCGAGGATGGTGGTAACCACTCTGTCACGACGGGCCCACTGTTCAGTTAGCAAACCAGCACACCGGTGGCAATTTGCAGTACGGACCCTTCTGAACTGCAATATCTGATCATTTTTGAAGCGCTAAAGTGTGCAGTACCCAAGCTATGTAATCGCGGGTTGCATTAATATTCTACCGAATTAATATGATCCAGTAATTGCATCCTAAAGATGGATTTGCTTTTTGAATTAGCATTTATTAGCTTACTAAAGAATAATATTTTATTTAGTAAACCCAATAAGATACGGGGAAAGTTGAGACGGATTTGTAAACCCGAACCCAATTAAGGCCCGCTTGGTAGCCCAGTAGCCCCTCCCCCCTCTTGATCTCCCTGTCACAGCCCATACGCCGAACCCAGGAGTCACAAAGTGTCAAATGCACCCAGGGAAACCCACTAACGCATTTGGTCGCATAGTGGCCGCCGGCCCGATGTGTGTTGTTTCCGCGAGGGAACAATCCACATCTCGACAGGTCGGTGAGAAAACCCAACTCTCTCTCTCTCTCCCTCCCTCCCTCCCTCCCTCCATCTCTCTCTAATGATCGGTCGAGAGGCCCCTGGGCATGCCTCAGTCTCCTCCACATAGGGCGTGTTTGGTTGCCCGCATAAAACCAGGCTCGCGCGGGAAGGATTCGGCCTGTTTGGTAGCCCGCATACACTATTGGGCTTGCATCGCACGCTTCTTAAAGCACCTATGGGCCTGGCTCACTAGGAACGCACGAATTGGCAGTTTCTCCAAGGCCAGGCCCGAGCGGTGCACGTGGGCGGGCGCGGTTGCACGCGCGCGGACACGCTCGAGAAGCCGCGTTGCTTCCCGAAGCACCGGAAGTTATTAGCCTCACCGCCCCTCACCGCTCCCTTCCCCACTCTTCCCCACTCTCCCGACTCTCACCGGCGGCGGCGGATCGGAGCAGAGGAAGAAGACCATCGGACTCCATCACCGGCGGCGGCGGATCGAAGCAGAGGAATAAGACCACCGGACTCCATCAATGGCGGTAAGCACTTCTCTCTCTTCGACATGCATACTTGATTCGATCCACGGCGGACGGGAATGTGGAATAGAGGTAGATAAGCATAGGGGTAATTCATACTAGTTCATAGCAGTTCATACGAGTTCATACATGCAAGATCGGAATGCATAAGGTAGATTTCGGGATTGGGGGATAGGGGAATAGGGGGAAAGGGGGTACACAACGAACACCGACTGACCGCGGCGGCCGTCACCGGCGTGCGGAGCGGCTGGTCGAGCCGTTGACCTTCATCTTCTTCTTCATCGCCGTGCGGGCCGGCGGGTCGTCCTCGTCGTCCTCGGCGGAGTCGAGGTCGATCTGCCAGGTAGGACGGACTGGCTCCGGCGCCCTAGCTGGCATGTGCACCGCCTCTTCTTCCTCCTCCTTAGGCTCCTCGCCGATGACCGTCGGCGGCACGATAGCCGTCTCCCAGTACACTGCTGCATGGCGGTCATCTGGAGCCCAGTAGGTCTTGTACTTGCACCACTTCTTCCTCTGTTTAGGGTCGTCGGAGACGGCCTGATTCATAGCCAAGTGAATGATGTCAACTGCCATCGCGCCCTTCGCTGGGTCAGGAATCAGCGCTTCAGCTCTTCTTTAGTGGCCTTCATGAGCACGGCATTAGATTCGTTCTGCATGTCCGGCATGGAGCCAAAGTTCGAGCACACCTCCATGGTGTTCTCGAACTTGGTCCGGTCACCAGCCGTCCACCCGAGGAAGAAGGCCCTCCAGCCAATACCCCAAGGGAAGGGTTGGCGTTGGAGCTGGAGCTAGAGCTCATGGCGAAGGGGAGGAGGAAGGTTGACAGTGAAAGAAGAGAGGGGGTGGGTAAGTAGTGGTGGGCAAGGTGAGTAAATATAGGGGGGTGGAGAGGAGGAGAAGAGTGACAGTCATGCCATTTTAACTACAATCTCTTGAATTAGCCATGAACTCTGTGCAGTGCCTGACTCCATGACTTGTGTGCAGATCGAGGATAGCAATGAGATGGGCACAGAGGTGCTCCCGGCCGTTGACAACAAGGGCAAGCAGCCCCTTCACCCAATGCCCGACGAGGTTGAGCTGCCGCCCACCGCCGAGGAAGACCCAAAGACGCTTGAGGGTGGCGACGACGAGGGCATGGAGGAGCCCCCCAGCAACAAGCGCCGCAACTACGGCCACTACCATCACGAGGATGGCCCAACTCACTTCCGCAAGGCCATCCTTGCACCGAAGCTTGAGTGCATTCCCATGCCCCTGGACTTCACCAAGCACTTCGTCTTGGTGCCGACGGAGTTCAAGCTCAGGAACAACACCGGCTGCTCCTGGAAGGTGACGGTCAAGCTGATGAACGGTAGGGTGACCCTGGATCAGGGTTGGGCCACCTACGCAGTCGTTCATCAGAACAAGATCGGCTACATGGTGACGTTCAAGCTCCTCACTCCCGACACCCTCAAGGTCATCATCTTCGACGACGATGGCATTGAGGTCGTCAACAAGTGCGGGAAGCACGACGAAGCCTTCGCCGCCAAGGAGTAGGGCCGGGCCACCTCTTTTGAGCGTACTATCGAGTCTACTTTGAACATGTTTATGGTTTATGCGTTGAACTGTTATGAACTGCGGTACTGCTTATATCTGAATTATGCTAGTTGATGCTCTATTTATACTCTGCTGTGCTTATGATGTGTGCTGCCGAAGTGTGGTGGTAACCTCACCTACTAGCCAAAGAGGTTACCACACATCAGGCCTTGCATACAACCAAACACCATGCCTTGTGTTTGTGCATTAACATGCAGGCAACCAAACACCAGGCAGTGTGGTTCAGCCCATGCAGGTAAGAGGGCATGCAGGCAACCAAACAACATGCACATGGTGCATTTGAGGCTGCATTTGCATAGCCAGGTTGGGTGGAGAAGTGTATACAATGCGGGTACGGTAGCGCATGGCAACCAAACACGCCCATAGCGTCTGAGAGTAGCGCCCCCATCTTCCTCCGACAACATCCCCCGGTGCTAGCCTTCGAGTTTATTTTCCCTCTATCGATGGCCCAACGGTCGCCTCCTTCCCCTGAGCTCCACCCCGCCTCAAAGCTTATGTCCCATCAAGCGACGTCACAAGTATCTTCGTCGTCGTTCAACGAAGTTTACTACCCTCCTTGTCCTCATTCTTCCACCTTATTTTGCGTTTCCATGTGAATGCTTCCCCCTACCCTTCTGACGAGCTCTTTGCATATCCACATATGCCATTCATTGTGGTAGCCTCTTGAATTGTAGGACACGTTTTGATATGTACTCGTATTTTACTTTGCCACATATCTGGTATGCATTTAGGGTTATTGTCTGTTTCAATGGGGTTTTTTTTCGTGATGTGTCACGCTTTGTTAGAAGCCTGCCTAACGTTGCAATATACCCACCATTTTTAAACTATGTAACAACTTTGCTAACCAAATTATTCTAGAAAACATTATAGCTTCATGAATCATAAGGCATGTTTGGTTCCTAGCCATGTCTTATTCTGACGTACATTTAATGGATATTTACGGTTAATTGTTGTTTCCCTGGTTTTGTCGTCACATGTCACACTTTATTAGCAGATCATCTCACTTTGGCATAGACACGCCTTTCTTTCAAACAATGTAACACTATTGCTAACCGAAATATTCCTGGAACGTTGTGCGGCTTCCCGCACTTTATAGTAGTAGAAAGCGCGGGAAAGCTTTGCTCGAACATGAACCAAACATGTCCTCAAAATTCCCATGTAACATAATAACCATCAAGCACGAGGGCATCGCTGTAAAAAAGTACACAGTCGCCCTGTGCTTGCTCCCCACCAAACCTCGGAAGCCGAAACAACCACACAACAAGGCCCATTTCGCGTAATGTTCTCAAAACTGAGACACCACTTCCATCTCGCCCCTAATTTTTAAACAGACAAACTTATGTTTACCTCCCTGGGACCTACCCACCTCGCATATCCACCCTCCAAACCGTCCTTCCCCGCCCGCCTCCTCATGCCCTCTTCTACTTGTATCCTGCACCCGCCAAGCCAGACGCAACACGATCGACCATCTCGCCCACTCGCCTACTCTTCCTCCCTCATCCCTGGTCATCCTCCATCACAGACCCCTAGCCCAGATACAAAAATAGAGGAGCAAGATGCCATCTTCCCAATGCATGAGACGGCGAAGAAAATATCACTGGGAGGAACTGAGATGCAAGCCATGGAATGAGAAATGAGATCATGCAAATGTCTCAAGCCATCTTGGTTGGATCTCTAGGGGGAGTAGTGAGAGAACAAAGCAGGATAGATGTTAGGTAGATGTAGCCAAGAGCCCAACAACCATCATGAACCCAAATAGAGAAAAGGGAAAGGGGCTCAAAGGGAGAAGAAGGAAAAGAACGCGAAACCAGACCTTAGATAACTCACTACTTCCAAAAATGATACCACCGCAATGTTGGTCAGCTCGTAGAGAAGATGGATACGGATCGGAGATTCAACAACAACGCCACCCCAAGCACGACGCATGGCCTCAAATCTTCTTCCTTGCAGTCCTACCAAATCCTTCAACCCAACCACCATGGACGAGATGAGTGGAGGAAGGAAGAAGGAAATGTGATGTTGTTTATTATAGATGGGTAAACACTTAACAACCACTACAGATGCAAATACATGGGGAGTATAGACACGACGGATCAGGAATTGAGCCCCTTTCACCCTCGATCCTCGCGTGGTCGATGAAGCTAACGAGGAAGAGAGGAAGAGGAGTCGGTTGTTGAAACGAGAAAGGAAAGCTCATAGGCAATGGATGAGGGAGGATGGGAAATGAGGAATGACTCCCCCGTGTTGGTGAAGTTTTAGGACGTGTTTGAATCACAACTTATTGCCCTAATGACATAATAGTTTATAGTTTTTACATAGCCTCTTGAATTGTAGGGCGCATTTGGTCTATAGTCACGTATTACTTTTCCACACACATTGGGTGGGTATTGCTTGTTACATACTCCCTCTGTCCAGAAAAACTTGTCCGAGAATCCTTGATTCCCAACTGTCGTAACATGTCATATTTTATTAGGCCAATTCCTCGATTTGTCGTATAGCATCATATTTCGAAACCACATAACGGCTTTGGTAACGGAATTGTTTCTAGAACATTGTATGGCTTCCCGTGGTTCAACGATAGAAATCGTGGAAAGCTTTGCTTGGCCATGAACCAAACATGCCCTCAAAATTCCCAAGTAGCATAATAACCATCTAGCACAGGGGCATCATTGCAAAAAAAAGTACACAAATCGCCCTATGCTTGCTCCCACCAAACCTCAAACCGAGACGACGACCCAATAAGGCTCGCGTTGCACATTGTTCCTGAAACTAAAACAAGACTTCCATTCCCGCCCGTAATTTTCAAACGAGCAAACTTACGTTTACCCCCTGGAACCCTACCACCTCGCATATCCACCCTCCTCGCCGGCTGGTGAAGCCAATGGTGAAGAGAGGAAGAGGATCGGTTGAGGAAACGAGAAAGGAAAGCTTAGAGATAACAGAGGAGAGAGAACGAGAAAAGAGGAAACCCCCATGTTGGTGAAGTTTTAGGACGTGTTTGCAAAAAAAAGTTTGTAGTTTGTACATAGCCTCCTGAATTGTAGGGCACATTTGTTTTATAGTCATGTTTTACCTTGCCACACACATTCATGTGGGTATTCTTTGTTTCATAGGTTTTTGTCGTAACGTGTCACACTTTAGTAGGCTAATTCTTCACTTTCGTCATGTAGTCTCATATTTTCAATCCACATAACCGCTCTAATAACAGGATTGTTCCCGGAACGTTGTACGGCCTCCCGCGGTTTAGCGATAGAAAGCGCGGGAAAACTCTCCTCGACCATGAACCAAACATGCCCGCAAAACTCCCAAGTAACATAATAAGCATTTAGCATGGAGGCATCATTGAAAAAAAGTAAACAAATCGCCCTATGCTTGCTCCCCACCAAACCTTCAAAGCCGAGACGACGACCCAATAAGCCCCGCGTTGCACATTGTTCCTGAAACTAAGACAATACTTCCATCCCGCCCCTAATTTTCAAACAGGCAAACTAACATTTACCCCCAGGAACCATACCCACTTCGCATATCCATCCTCCTCGCCGGCCGGCGAAGCCAACAATGAAGAAAGGAAGAGGAGTCGGTTGAGGAAACGAGAAAGGAAAGCTTAGAGGCAACAGAGAAGAGATAACGAGAAAAGAGGAACGACTCCCCCTTGTTGGTGAAGTTTTAGGACGTGTTTGGATAACAATTTATTGCCCTAATAAAATAAAGTTTGTAGTTTCTACATATCCTCCTGAATTATAGGGCACATTTGTTCTGTAATCATGTTTTACTTTGCCACACATATTCAGGTGGGTGTTGTTTGTTTCGTAGGGTTTTGTCATAACGTATCACACTTTAATTCCTCACTTTGTCGTATAGCCTCATATTTTCAAACCATATAACGGCTTCGGTAATGGAGTTGTTCCTGGAACATTGTATGGCTTCATGCGGTTTAGCAGTCGATAGCGCGGGAAAGATCTACTCGGCCATGAACCAAACATGCCCTCAAAAATCCCAAGTAACATAATAACAATCTAGCACAGGGGCATCATTGAAAAAAAACACAAATCACCCTGTGCTTGCTCCCCACCAAACCTTCATAGCCGAGACGATGGCCCAGCAAGGACAGCGTTGCATAGTGTCCCTGAAACTAAAACAACACTTCCATCCCTGCACCTAGTTTTCAAACGGGCAAACTTACGTTACCCCCTAGAACCCTATCCACCTCGCATATCCACCCTCCTCGCCGGCCGACAAAGCCAACGGTGAAGCGAGGAAGAAGAGTCAATTAAGGAAACGAGAAAGGAAAGCTTAGAGGCAGGGAAGGAGAGAGAACGAGAAAAGAGGAATGACCCCCCCCCTTCTTTGTTGGTGAAGTCTTAGGGCGTGTTTGAATCACAACTTAGTGCCCTAATAAAATAAAGTTTGTAGTTTCTCCATAGCCTCCTTAATTGTAGGGCACATTTGTTCGGTAGTCATGTTTTACTTTGCCACACGCATTTGGGTGGGTATTGTTTGTTTCATAGGTTTTTGTCGTAACATGTCACACTTTATTAGGCCAGTTTCTCACTTTATCGCATAGCCTCATATTTTCAAACCACATTACGGCTTTGGTAATGGAATTGTTCCAGAAGCGTTGTACGACTTCCTGCGGCTCAGCGCTAGATAGCGCGGGAAAGCTCTGCTCGGCCATGAACCAAACATGCCCTCAAAATTCCCAGGCAACATAATAACCATCTAGTACGGGGGCATCATTGCAAAAAAAGTACACAAATCGCCCTATGCTCCCCATCAAACCTTCAAAGCCGAGACGGCGACCCAACAAGGCCCGCGTTGCACAGTGTTCCTAAAACTAAAACAACACTTCCATCCCCGCCCCTATTTTTCAAACAGGCAAATTTACATTTACCCCCTGGAACCCTACCCACCTCACATATCCATCCTCCTTGCCGACCAGCGAAGGCAACAATGAAGAGAGGGAGATGAGTCGATTGAGGAAACGAGAAAGGAAAGCTTAGATGCAATGGAGGAGAGAGAACGAGAAAAGAGGAATGACTCCCCCTTGTTGGTGAAGTTTGGGTGGGTATTGTCTGTTTCGTAGTTTTTTGTCGTAACGTGTCACATTTTATCAGTCCAGTTCCTCACTTTGTCGTGTAGCCTCATATTTTCAAACCACATAACGGCTTTGGCAACAGAATTGTTCCGGAAGTATTGTACGGGTTCCGCGGCTTAGCGCTAGATAGCGCGGGAAAGCCCTGCTCGGCCATGAACCGAACATGCCCTCAAAACCCCCAAGCAACATAATAACCATCTAGCACGGGGGCATAGCCGAAAAAAACACACACACACAATCGCCCTGCGCTTTGCTTTCTCCCCACCAAAAACAAACACCCCCGAAGCCGAAACGGCGGCCCAGCAAGGCCCACGCGGCACGGCGTTCTCCCGAAACTGAAACAGGCAACACTTCCGTCCCAGACCCTAATTTTCAAACGGGCAAACTTGCGTTTACCCCCCTGGATCCCCGCCCACCTCGCAGACCCGCCCTCCCACCGGCCCCTCCCTTCCCTGCTCGGCTTCTCCTCCTCTACTTGTATCCTGCGCCCGCCAAGCCAAGCCTTCCCGCAGGCAAACACAACCGACCACCTCGCCCACTCGCCGCCTCCTCCACCCTCGCCCCCGATCAGCCTCCGCCGCGGGGGCCCCCGGGAACCCTAGCGGCGGCGCGGGTCCTCCTCCCGGCAGACGCGGCGAAGGCGGGGAGCTCCGTCCAGGGCGTCGGCCGTCGTCCCCGCGCGCGGTGCAGGGGCGCCGAGCTGCGCTGAGGCGCTGCCCGGGCCCGATTCCCCCCAGATCCGAGGCAGGTGAGCTTCGTCCACGGATTGGCCGGTGGAATTTCGTGGGGTGTCCGCGTAATCTCTGGCGAGATGGGTCTCCCGCCGGCGGCCGAGGCCTCCCCGGCTGGGATTTCCGCGGTGGGTTTTGGGGCGACTCTGTGGGCAATTTCCGCTGTTTTCGCTGCTCGCTTCGTCATCTCCTGGCGTGTTTTCGCTCCATCCTTGGAGGATCTCTCTCTCTCTCTCTCTCTCTCTCGCTCTCGCTCTCGCTCTCGCTCTCTCTCGCTCTCGCTCGCTCGCTCGCTCGCTCGCTCCGTGGTTCGGTCGCGTCTGGGAGGTCTGCGGGGGCGTTTTTTGGGCCGCTCTCGGAGAAGATGCGATGGGGAATTTTGCGGCTCTGTGACTTGCACGTTTTAGATGGTCTCTTCTCTATGAGCAGATGTGTGCTTAGGCCGCTTGGATTTTTTAGAACCAGTTCCCGTCGAAGATTTGGTTGCGACGGCTGCCTGCGCGCTTGGAACTCTGAGATTTATGGGTCTAAGTCGTTTCGTTTGTTGAGGTTCTGAGGGGATTTCATCCGCGACTTTTTTTGTGCGTCCCGATCTCTGATGAGATGTTCCCTGGGTTGCGTTTCGTCTATCTGCTGTTACGATTTTGGCTTGGATTTTTGTCGCATGTCTCCCCTTGCCTCTCCGATTAGTATCTGCTATTAGCAATTCTCTTCTTCGTTTCCGGTCATGGATTAATTCTGCTATCCACTTGCGGATCTTATCTAACTCGCTGTTTCTTACATTGCTTTGGACAGCCAAGGGTTTTGGCTATAGGCCATCAAAATTCATCTTTTTTGTTACAGTTCGTCGGACAATTCAGCTCTGGCGGATTTGGATGCGTGAGTGGTTTGATCTTCTCTGAGTTTTGGGTCTTTTGTCGCTTTAGAATTTGCACAGCCGGGTAGATTCCATGAACCTTTGTGTAAATTTGCGTAGTAACATGTCTAGGAGATTCAAAGTCTGTGTGATTGCCTGATTAAAGCTTGTGAAGTGTGGATTTTCTAAATGAAATCCTCTTCAGCTTCGGTTCTTAAGTAGGTCTGGCTTGAACTCTTAATTATGGTTTCCTTCCCCGAAGCTGATAGCCTCGTTGCCCAAATCTGACTAGTGATTACTGTGTAACTGCATAGGTATTAAGTATATGCATTATAAACTACTGCATACTGAGGTTGCTTTTCTGGCTTGCAGCAATATTGGGCGGGTCTCAATTCAAGGACGATTTCAATGGGTCCAGCAAAAGGTTCTCGCACAATCCACAAGATCACAATAAAAAGACACGAGGATCGACAGCATCATGAGGATCCAACTAGTTCAAGCAATGTGAAACTTAAAGTAAGACATAGCAGGACCTGATGATAGATTCATTTGCGATGACCGGTAGTTGTAGCACGAGTACACCACATTTCCCCATTCTTAAGATAACACTTCACTCTAAAATAATATGTTATTCACCTGTTATTTCTCTTGCACCCAAATGTTAGATTTCTCAGAAGAGGAAGAGGTCAGACTTAGATCCCCACTGGAACAGGGATGAGCTGATGCACTTTTATGGAGCCTACCGGCGGCATGGAAAGAATTGGAAAAAGGTTTGGATCTCATATTTCCATCTCTCTGATTTTCTTCTCCCCTAGTACCTTCTGAGGCCTAACAGAAAACTGTTTGTTGAGTCTTTTCAGATCAGTGCAGTAGTTGGCAGCAAATCGGCAGACACTGTAGAAGCTCTTTACTATGTGCATCGGGTGAGTATTTGTTCTAATGTATTAATGTCCTAGTTGCAGAGACTATTATCATGCATCTTCTACAGTTTCTGGGTTCAGCAAACCAAGACGATAATTTGCTGACAGAGAACAGGGCATTATTAAATATCTGGAGGTTATTGAAATTTTGGTTGTAGTATATTTCAGCCTGCAGTGATGTTTCACACTATGATCATTGTTTAAATTGGCATGATTTAATTTGATCAATTAACCTTAATAAAATAGTTATAGACTGACATTTCTTGTTGTAGACTTTCTTATCTCTTCCGGAGTGTGAAGGTACTGCCAGGGGATTTATTGCATTGGCTGCTGGTCATGACAATGCTTTGGTAAGATTTTGATGTTTTACTTGTGTTGGATATTTGAACTGCTGTTTACTTATGTATCTGGTTATGTGAAATCCCTGTACTTTATCTCTCTTTTTGGTTGGTTCCATAACATATGTGAATGTTTGTACCATATAATTATTATGGTTCTTCATAGTTCAGTTCTAGTGTTGCCTGTAAGTACGATATGATACTGTAAGGAGGGCTCTACAATATCTATTTAACTAAAATTGAAATGTACAGTCAACTAAGTGCAAAAGGTGGCGACTGTAAGACAAGTTTTAAAGTGATGATGATTATTACTAACCTTGAGTGCTTATCTTAACTTCTGGAGTGACTTTTGACATTGCATCCGTTGAACCGCTCTTTGCACTTAGTAGGCTCTGAAGTATGATTTTCTACAAATGGATGATTATCCATCAAACATGTGGTTAGCGAAGGAAATACAGCACAGAAAATAAGTGTTAAAGCGAGGCGAATGATAGAACTTTATAAGGAATTTGACCTACTTCTGAATTTGACTAGCATAAAACTTAATAAAACTCTCTCACTGGCAGGAATCTCCAAGTCAAAGAGAAACTGATCAGATGGTTACATCATCTGGGAAGGGACGGAGACGTGGAGAAGCTGCGTGGCAAAAAGAGAATGCAGCACCTAACCCTCACAACGCCTTCACAAATCAGGAAATGAGAATTGCTGGCTTTACATCTTCTTTCAAGAAAAGATACCATGGAGGCAAGTATTGCAAGGCAAATATGCCATGTCCTTTTGGTTCCCTTAAACGTAGTTTTGATAGTTTCATGTTCTTTTTATTTTCAGAACTTGTCAGGTACATCAGTAGACATCCTGTTCGGAAACGTACTCCTCGTGTACCAGTTTTACTTCCTTTGGACATCAATTCTACAAACAAGGCTAATGAAGAGATAAATAATGATGGAAGCTCTCCTGATGGAAGTTCAGGAATCACTGAAGCAAAGGTTGTTCAGGGCCAGACTTTCTTGGAAATCAAAGGAACTGAAGATACTGAGATATCTCAGTCCCAGCAACATTTAAATTTGAAGAAGAGAAGGATTCAGCAAAGCATGGACGAAGGCCAGACCAGCAAAGTTGAGCCTGGTACCACGATGGTGGCTGAAAAAGAAGGGCATAACTTATCTGATTATGAGAGACTTAGTCGGTTATTTTCTCCAGGTATTCTTTGAAACAAATTGTTGCTCTGCCTTGTCATTGGCAACAAACAGAGAGCTTCTTTCTGGAATTAGCGATCATGTGTCATGTGAGTCGTGAATACTGTGATATGATACATTTCTGAAATGATGCATAAAATGGTCTGATTTATGTGTACTTATTTGGAGATGGAGACTCAAAACTGCCAGTTCAGATGCATAGAAACCAAATAAAATAGTATGGCAACCACTCTAGCTTATTGTCCGAACCGCAGGTCCATGAGCTGGCCAAGGAAACACAGTCTAAATGAGCAACAACTTAATTTTTGCTGCTGCCTAATTGCTTTTCAGCATAGCTTCCTGGTCACATGCGATTAACCCTCGTTAGCAATGCTTAGTACTACTAATAATTATCAGCAGTGTAACATTCTGACTACTGTTTTTTTCAGAGGAGATGATGGTCTTAGATGTGTTGGAGAGTCTGGTGACTGTGCCCAATGAAACGTCACAGGCCAAGATTAATAGTCCTTCAGGTTCGCCAAATTTCTCCTAATTCATCTTTCCAACTACATTATCTCAGGAATGTTGTTAATGGCCTATCCTTCCCCTTTTCCATCTAATGATCCAGGTACATGTGGAAAGATAATTTCTGCATCATGTAACACACAGGAGGAAGGGCTTTCTCCTGTCGATCAATCTAAACAAACGAAGCAAGATAGTGATTCCAGTGCTTCAGAGGAAAGGAAAAAAAGGAGAAAGAAGTTACCAGATGAAGAGGTAAGATATTGTGAATATTTAACTATGTTGTATGCATGCTGTGAATCCAAATTTTAGAAGGTCCCTTTCCGACTCATACAGAAGTAACAGAACATAAAATTAAGTCAATTCATTGATTTTCCTAATTTGAGCTAGCTGTCTTCTGTGGCAGCTTCTATTAGTTGTACTTGTCTTCATGCTGTCGGCATTTACAGTTTGAAAGATGTTTTGATTCTTCAATTAGATGCTTACCATTCTTGTATTTCAACTTTATTATGCAATTGATCAGTACATTCATAAAATTTTATGCTAGTTATTCATGGGATGTCATCCCTTATGGGTTTCTAATTGGGCGTCCATTTGTTATCAATTTTCCCACTATTTCCTTGTGGTTATTCCTTTGAAGTGGACCTTAAAAAACTGTAAACATATATGTGTTCTTTTCACTATCGCTCCAGTTAGTCTAATGGCAGTTCCATTTTGTCATACTCTTCCCACAGGTGCTGGCTGAAGAACAAATCAGTTCTGGTAATACTTCAGTTATACCACAAGCATGTCAGCTTGATGCCACGGAGCAGCCCTCCTTGAATTCTGACTTTGAGAAAGAAGCAATAGATATACCTGAATCAACTGCAAATATTTGTGCTGAAGTATCCCCTGATGCACCGATGGAAATTGACCCTCAAATAAATATGTCAAGGAAGAGCAAAAGAAAATCCAAAGTACAATGCAAAAAAAACTATGTGTTTTGCAATGAAGGTGCCGATAATTTACAGGTACATTTATAATTTATCATTGCTGCAGATTTATATATTATTATGGGAGACATGTTTCCTAACTCGCAAGTGTTCACTATTTTCAGGCAAAGAAATTGCTGCATTGCTTGTCATCTGAATCACTTCGTAGATGGTGTACATACGAGTGGTTCTACAGCGCAGTTGATTATCCATGGTTTATGAATAATGAATTTGTGAACTACTTAAATTTTGCAAAATTGAGCCATCTTTCAAGGCTCACTCGATCTGAGTGGAGCACAATCCGAAGGTATTAACTTGCAAACCCTGGAAGTTGTAGCATTGTTTCTTTGTCTGTTTGCATATATGTTGAAAGATTTTTTTTATCTGCAGTTCTCTCGGCAAGCCCCGTCGCTTTTCCAATCATTTCCTGGCAGTAGAAAAGGAAAAACTTGAGGATTATCGACAAAACGTTAGGAAATACTATGCTGAACTAAGTGATGGCTTGCGGGATTCTCTACCAACAGACCTTGCTCGGCCTTTTTCAGTTGGCCAGCATGTCATTGTTCGTCACCCGAGTACCAGAGAACTTGCTGATGGTAAAGTGGTAATCATGGAGCGGGATTGTTACAAGGTCCAGTTTGATAGCCCTGATCTAGGTGTTGATATAATTAAGGTATGTATTTGTTATTTTTATTTTCTTCAACAATTATCTGTATACTTGTTACATTTTGTTGGCAATTAGACATTTAGAAATGAAGTGTGCCGTCTATCTATGTGGCAGAATAGGTCAGCTATTGGTTTTGCACTGTAGAAAGGAAGAATAAGCTTTCCTAGTCTGTAAACATGATTACCCTTCCAATGTGGAAGCTTTTGGTCCTTGACATACAAGGACTATGACCATGTTAAGCAGTTTCCATTGAAAAGTACTAATTTGGCGACAGCCTTCAGTAGATGTGGTTTTAATACATGCCAATTTATTTTTTGTAATTTGGCATGCAACCATGTGTGCACTTTTGCTATGTATTCCTATTAGTTATATTCCTATCATGAGAAGCACATGTACTTCCTTGATGTAGTCATTCAAGAACAAGGTGAATGCTATATTTTTGTACCCAGAAATGCATAACTGAACTTATTCTTTTCCAGGACACTGATTGTATGCCTGTAAACTGGTTGGATAATCTGCCTGACGATCTCAAGAAGAGGAGCTCCCTCTCAAATAATGCACACCGCAAACCGGATTTTGAGCACATTCCGGAGCTTACTTCAAAGGAGAGCTGGGGTAATATCATGAATGACATTTCCGTACCTGAGTCGTCCAGTAGTCGACAGGTAACATCAGATGAACAGCATAAGGTTTTATTCTGTCCAAATTTATATTTTCTAAGGAGCGTAGTTATTAGTCAAAGTTGAATATGCAGTGCTTATATGTAAGTTAAAGCTAATATATACTCCTTCCGTCCGGAATTACTTGTCTTAGATTTGTCTAGATATATCTAGATAAATCCAACACAAGCAATTTGGGAAGGGGGTAATATTTATGATCATGGACATCAAATACTGCTTGGTCCTTGAACTGTTCTATAGAATCCAATTACTTGTGATTGTAGTAGTACTTCAGGGCTAGTTCTGATTAATCTATTTATCGACAGGCTTCATCTTCTGTGGGCGGTGAACTGCTACCCAGCAAGAGTACCACCATTTGTAGATCTACACTGCCACCATTCCACCCACTCCAGTCCGCCGCCGACAGTTTACAATCAAGGGGTCGCTCAAACAACAACAGTGGTCAGAGTGATGAACTGGATTCTCATGTTACTGCATTTGTCCAGAAATCGCTTAAACAAGCCAAACAGATGGTTGGTGAAGTCATGCAGGTAAGTTCAAGTCCTTCTGGCAACTCTCAACTTCTGTGCAGCCACGGTTTCATCGTATTTTTCAACTCAATATGTTGTTGATTTCCGTTGCTTAGGCAAGCTATGGAAATGGTAATGAATCTGGGGAAGAAGCAACACCATGTATAAGCCTGGAATCTGAGTCTACTCTTGATGATGCCCAGCTTCCATCCACCCTGATAGAGAACTGTGTTGCTACAGTTATTGCAATCAAGGTAAAATGTCCACAGATCCCATCTTCTACCATATGATCTATGGTTACTATAGTTTATATCTCGCTTCATCGTCCTTGTCCAACCACGCGCAGGAGCTGAGCGAGCATCGGCACCCGCCTGCCAAGATAGCAGGTGTGCTGGAGCGTGCTTTTTCGATGCTGCGCCCAAGCTGTCCAGAGAACCTCGCGATCTACAGCGAGATAGAGAGCTACATCGCCGTCGTCAAGAGCCAGATACTAGCACTTGTGCCAACAACATCTGGCAATGCAGCTCTGGCAATGTAGTCCCAGATGCGGGAGGGCACACCCAGGGTCCTCCGACGTGGTCCTCGGTGATTGATTCTGGGTGACTTTACCAAGACTTGTGACGGCAAATCAGGGCATCTGGAGTAAGCTCAACTCTCTGCCCTGCCGACATTAGCTTAGAAATGCAGCGTTTTGAGTAGAAAACGTAGCATAGATGTGTTGCTGGCCAATTGTCCAGCTCGCTTGTAATCTCTGTGTATAGAATAAACCCTTCAGGGTAGGTCTGCTTGGCTTGCAGACCTGAACAGTTCATTACTCACAGGAACAATAAGAGATACATGTATTCCCTGTTTTTTTACCAATACAAATTCGGACGGCTGAATTTTGTTATGACGGTGTTGCTAAATCCCACTCACAGTACGTAGTTGGCTGTCTTGAGATCTTACACAGAGACCTGTGTGATTTTTCAAGTTCTTTTCTTACTTTTTATAAATGTTATTTGTAACTAAACATGATGGTGTCTCGAGAATTGGTTAAATCTCAGTTGACTGAGACCTTGCGCAATTGCATCTCAGTGTATTGTGTGTACTGAAATTCAGAGTGACAAGCGCAGCTATCCAGAGAAGTATCCGTCGTACCCAACAACATAAGAAAACTCAAGGACTCCGTATGTATGTATATGTTCACTGCCTACCCAAACACTCAAGAAACTCGGTGTATATTTTACAATCTCTGTCTGCCTAATTCACTGTATGTAAACATATTCTGTATTCCCTGTGCCTATTACACTTACTACTATCCAAAATCTTGCAACTGGTAATAATAATGCTGTCATTCATGTTTCTATTCATCTGTGCTGTATGTATATGAATGTACATTGATCATGTTAGTGCAGCAGCGCAGTCAGGCAGCAAGCACACCCGCCTGTCATCTCCCTCCATCTTGCTGCTGCTGCTGCAGCACGGTGAAGTGGAACTCAATCTGCAGCCGCCGGTGCGGCGCGCCGGCGTCGGCGCACCCGCTCTGCTCGATGTGCAGCTCCTCCCTCAGCGGGATGGCGGCCAGGAACCTCTTGATGAACTCGCCGCAGCACTCCTTGCCGGTGGCGACCACCACCTCCTCCGCCGCCTCGGACGACGGCGACGGCATGGCGCGCATCTCCGACGTGGCGTCGAACCTGAGCATGTAGGCCTTGTCGCAGCCCTCGAAGAGCCGCTCGCCGAGCGTGTCCACCACGTAGTAGCAGTCGCTCTCCGCCTTGAGCACGAAGAAGTGGTCGTTCCAGCTGACGATGTACACGTCGGCCTCGCCCGGGGCGCGCTCGCCGGCGCCGGCGCTGATCTCGCGCCAGATGTCGTCGAACGACATGGCGCCCGACAGCGACGCGAAGCTCTCCGGCTGGAAGAAGCCGACGAAGGCCCTGTCGTGCTCCACGGCGATGGGCCGCGTCCGCGCCGCCAGCACCGTCTCCAGGTCGAAGTGCCGGTTGGGGAACTGCGCCATGTGCGCCTCGTCGTCGCAGAGCCGCCTCCACTCCGACGAGCCGTCCCGGATGAGCGCGTCCAGCTCCGCCCGGGTCGGCATCAGCGGGTGGTTGGCGTGGAGCGCCGCCGCCAGCACGGCCACCAGCGCCGTGCACGCGCTCTCGCCGCCGGCGCTGTCGTCGCGCTGGTCGATGGACGCGAAGAAGACAGGCGTCCGGAGCCGCGTCTCCGAGTCCCTGCTCGTGAACTCGCGCGCCTCCCAGGCATCGTCGTCGTCCCCCACGCAGCATTTGGCGACGGGCATCTCCTGGGAGAGCGACTCCCGGCTCCGCCGCCGCCACGGCAGGAACCGGCGCTTGGACGTGGACCCGGGCTCCGGGCTGGCGCCGCCGCTGGTGCTGGTGCTGGCGCTGCTCAGGCTGACGGTGCTGCTGCTGCTGCTCATGCCACCACTGCTGACGCTGCTGGTGTCCGAGTTGCGCTTGTTCCGGTACACCGCCACCCTGCCCTGCTTCTCGGCGAGGTCGAGCAGCTGCTTCAGGTCAAGAACCTCGTGGTAGGTGGAGCCCCTGTGGATCTCCCTCATCGTCGGGACCGGCGTGGGGTTCGCCCTCGGCTTCTCCCTGAACGAGACGCTCCTCTCCACCTCCGCCGGCGTGCTCAGGTCCACCAGCTCCACGTTCACCTGCCGTTCGTCAAGCACAAGCACACGATTTTCAGGGACCAGGACTCCATTGATGCACTGAATTTATAACAAGCCAGAGCACACGAGAGCACAGTAGGGTTCGGACTCCTACCCTAGATCGGAACCAGCATGACATATACCGAAACCTAAACCGACACAAACTCGTAAACAATTGGAGAGGATGTGCAATGGAATCAAAGGAGAGGGAGGATGTATATGCTGGTTGCTTACATAGAGCATGGCATCACTTGCCCACCCGTCCTTCCTGACCCTGATGGGGACAACCACCAGCTGCTGCAGAGGAGCCCCAACTTTCTGCTGCTGCTGCAGCTGCATCTCCCAGCAGCACTCCTCCAGGCTGATCATGGCTGTCCCGATCTCGTCCAGCCTCACCAGGTCCTTGCCCCTCCCTTGTTCTTGGAATCCCTGCACCACAACAGCAAGCTATTCTACTTAGAGATTTGCCAGCTCCGAATGACCAAAAGCCCACGCATCATACATACACACGGGAATGAATACGACCCCTAGAGAAAGCAGAGATGCCTTGATTCGGTGCCATTGATTCCGCAGTAAGTTTCATGGTTCCTCTGCGTTTTTGCTTAAAAAAGAAGTTTCCAACTTTGGGATGATCCATTGGAGCTGAAAGTCCCAACATTTTTACTTCAAGAAGATGTTCTTGTAATATAGTACAGCTAAGGGAGATTAACTGATTACTGTTGTAACCCTTTTTTGTGATGCACAAGTTTAGCCAACAACCGATTAACCGGAACGGAACAAAAAGGTGACACCACATTGAACCCAACCAACCAACCATCCAGGCATGCACACATCAACGCCGAAAGATACATAACATAACGCACCATCCATCCAAGTATCCAACTATCAACCAAATGCATCTTTAACGTACACGAAAGCGATCTTCGGTAAGTACTGTTAAACCATAACACTCAAGCATAAATGTCATGACTCAACACCTCATGTCATAGATCATGCTATGCTACCTAATAACAAAAGCCTAATAGCCAAAAGTCAAACTTAATTGCCTGGCCAATGGGGGCGCCCGACCTACGTGGCCCCGTCCCACCCGGTGCTTCGTTTCACAGTTTCAAACCTCATGGTGGCATTATTATCATGCCTTTTTTGACGAAATCGCCCGACAGGGAAGTGAAAAAGAAGAGAGGAGAACGCTTCCTGTTCAGCCCGGCACTAGTGCTGGGTTATGTCATGGATTTTGGAGCCATGTGGTTAACGCAGCCATTGACTTCTCTCCCCCAAATGCTGAATTTCCTGACCGCTACTTGGCAAAAAGGTTTGTATTGACCTGAGGCGTTGTAAACTGCGGTCGTCTCAGGCTTGCGATTCACAAGAAATGCTGTCCACGCATTAGGCTTACATAGACGTAATACTAATACATCATCAACGCTATCATTGAGGAAAAATAATGCAAAATTTGGAAGCATTGGTAAAGCATGTTTATAATAGAGCGTAGAGTAAAGTTAATTAGACACCTTAAACAAACCATGTTCGTTCGTTTGTTTGTCTGTCTGTAGATGAAAACGGAGCTAGTAATTATCATACTAGTAAATCTGTCGCGAAGGTAGAAATCGTCAATCGTGTTATTTTCAGCATCGACAATAATCGTGTGTTACTATGAAATGTGCAGGAAAAACTGCAGCTTTGGAAAGAAAATGGAGCGATTGTATTAGAGGACTCTCGAGTATAAGCGAGACGATTGATCTGATGGAGTAAAAATCAAGGAAGAAACGGAGTGGCAGCGGCGGGGAGCACTCACGTATAGGACGGAGAAGAAGACGCCGCGCTCCGGCCGGCCGGCGCCGCCCGCGCCCGCGCCGCCGCGCGGGCTGGCGCTGGGCTCGACGTCGACGCGGAAGCGGTTGGCGTCGGCGGCGGCGTCCCAGCGGACGGCGCCGTCGCCGCCGACGGGCTCGACGGCGGTGACCCCGCGGCCGCCGCGCCTGCCGGTGAGCATCTGCGAGAGCGCCCCGCCGGCGCCGGGCCACTTGACCTTGACGGCGGCCACGGCGGGGGCCGACCACGCGGCCGGCAGGCCCTCGAGCTTGGTCGGGCCGACCCGCACGCCCCGCCGCCGCGCCGGCGACCGCCTGACCACCATGCCGCCGCCCTCCACCTCCGTCCGCCTCTCCCTCCTCGAGCGTCGGTCGGCCGGCCGGAGGCTTTCTCCCTGGACGCGTCTGTCTGTGCGTGTGCGAGCGAGCGTGGTGCGCGTTGTCGCTGGCTGGCGCCGCTCCGAGCCGTTGGCTGGCCTGGGTGGGGGTTGGCTTTTATTAGGCAGCCCAGCCGCAGGCGATCCGGGCATGCGCTGGGCGCGCACGTGGGGCCGGGGTGGCAGCCGGCCAGCCCGGTGGTGCCGGGAAGATTGGACGTGGACGGGGCGTGGGGCCGGACTGCGCACTGCGACCAACCGCTCGCCATGGGCGCCGGACTCCTCTACTCATCACGCGCCAAACCGAGCCGGATCGGTCGACGCGGGAAGCCGCACATGCACGTTTTTCCTCCCTCCGGCGCATTTGTTTTGGTTAAAAACGTTTTTTTGTGCTCTCCCCATGATTGGCGATTTCTTTTGGAGGCTTTTCCTATCATTGATGCTGTTGGTGGGAGTGTTCGCTTGGATTTGCTCCTGCCTTGCGGATCGCGCGCGATACGATTGATTCTCGGTCCCGCGCCGCATCATTCATGCTGAATTATTATTGTGCGTAATGCGTGCTTTGGTGGAGGAATGGTACTGGTGGTTACAGTGCTTTCGCCGCTGATCGCTTGCAATTATGTGGTGCTACATGGTACACTTGAGAAACCTAAGAAGAAGTGTTTGGATTATTATCAAATTCCAAATGTTGACCGATGGCTAATTTGGTAGTGCGCAGGTTATGTTTACGTGGAATTATTGCCGCTGTGGTATCTACAGCTATTCCACGTGGTCGTAATCATTTACGTAAAAAAAAAACATGATTGTGATCTTGTAGTCTATGATCACTGATGATTTGTTGTCATGTTAAACTATTGTGCGTGCTGTGGTGGAAGAATGTTAGTTACAGGTAGCTCCGTAATCACTTGCGATTATATTTGGCTTAACAATGTTCCGCTGTTTTTCTACTTCTGCCTAAGGCGAAATATTTTGACTATCAAATTCAAATGTCGGCCAATAATTATCGACAAGGGGTGCTCTCTCCTTTAAGCAGTACATAGTGCGTGTTGTTTTTACTCGAAAATATGAATGTAAGAGGATCTACAGCCGGACTCCTCAAATTGACCAGGCGGAGGCAGGACCACTGACCAGACAGTAGGGAGAAGCAAAAAGTTGACCGAATCAGACCTCTCTAAACCTCCCTAAATGGCTGGGGTGTTCGGCACTTCTCATAATCATCACATAGGATTGGGTCCCAGTTCTTTTGCCAGAATCTGGGGTTTCTCCCAGAATCCGACCCCTACCCAGCTTTTTCCAGAATCTTCGGGCTCCATTTGTTTTACAATCCTATCTAGTTAGGGTCTAATTTGATAGGATTGTAAAATAAACTGGGCACAAAGATTCTGGAAGAAGCTGGCAGGGGTCGGATTCTGGGAGAATCCTCAGATTCTGACAAAATAGTTGGGCCTGGGTCCATCACAAAGCATTTTTTTTCTTTATTACTCTTTTCTTTCTCTCTTTTCTTCTCCGTCCTTCAAGAAAAAAATCACATGCATGTGACCAACCGGACGTTGACCGGGCACGTTCGTGGATATTTGAGGGACCAAATTTGTAGTCCGATGCCCTAACCGAGTATAAAAGAAATTACAATGCCTACAGCACCGAATGTATCCCATACTTAGTTTTTTTAAGGTATATCTGCTCGTAGTTAACCATGATCTTTAGCTACATGGCGCTTTGTTGTATTGTACTCCCTCTGTAAACAAAGATAAGAGCGTTTAGATCACTATTTTACATAGGGAGTACTTATGAACCAGACTGATTCTGGGGCAGAAGACGACACGCCCGCACGAAAGTCAATCCTTGAACACATGGCCACTATATAGCCTATACACCAAACAATAATAATGAAATAAAAGTCAATTCGCTGAACATGGTTAACAAACAGCCTGCTGCACCGTCGCCCAGGCACAGCAGACACAGGTAACTGGATCCAATCGATCGACCGTGTGAGCTGTAGGCGCATGTGTACAGCTAGCCGGAGCTGGGGCTGGGGCACGTACCCGCGACCACCCCGCGAATGCGGAGCCGCTCGTTCCCACACGGGCCTAGCCAGCCAACCCGGGGCGGGGGGTGCAGATACAGCGTCGGTTGGCTGGTCGGGGTCCCGGTGGTTGCTCGGCTTCATTCATCGCTCCCTTCTATGGCCAGTCCTTCCTTCTGGCGGGACTCCGATCCGACACCGCGTACGCCCATGTGACCGCGACCGCCTCGTGCTCACCTGCGTGTAACAGGCGGGTGAAATCGCCGGAGCCGGCCGTGCGCGTGATTGATGCGCCACCGTTCGTACGCGCGTACGGACGGCCGGTAAGAGAAACCCAGGTTGATTATTGTACTCCTGGTAGTACTAGTATTATTCGGGTCTGACCGGACCAGACCTGGCTGGTTAGGTTAGCAGACTACCGGGGCTGCCATGACACGGTCAGCTCTGTGGTCAGATCGAAGCCGTGGCACGGACGGCGTACGTTTTGCTAGTAAGACTATGCTGGTCAATTGGGTAGCCGCACGTCATGCGCGGAACGGAACTTGTCAAGGTTACAGAGGTGGTAGTACCGTATTATGTGTGCTACTTGGCACGATTGACTGTGCGGATCTTCACCGCCGTACGTATGTGTGCGTGTATCTTTTGGGCACACCTTCGTCCATTTCGTACCGTTGCGTTCCAAGATGTTTGGCCAGTGGCCGGCGTCTTCTGGCTACACCTGCCAATAAAACACGGCGGATTTAGAATAGCTATAATGGACATGCAGAACTTTTATTTTCTACCACTATACAAACGCAGATGCTCACATACTTATCGCTATGAACACACGCACACATACTTCTATGGAAACCTCTGAGATACTGAGCTGGCATAACATCTTGAAATTGACAAAGTCGTCATAAGTGCCTCGTAATCGACGAAAACGTCTTTCCCTACTAAACGAACATCGCTGAAAAGGCTGAAACAAATCAAGAAAAATGCGAGCACAAGTAACAAGTGTCCAGTCTAGGACTTGAACCATGGTGGGCTGATTCCTACTCGTTGTAGCGTAGTCGAACCAACTTCTCTTTCCCCGTGGTTCACTCGAATGAATCGTCATGTCTTAGTTGCAGCGGCGCCTCCAAAATATTTGCACGTTACGAGGCTTCTGTCGCGCTATTTGAGCAAGGGAGACGTGGTGGCTAGGTTTTTGGAAATTTTGAACTGATCTTCTGGGGGAGATTATTGCGCCTTTCCAAGGTGGGATTCCAAAAGATATCAAAATGCTGGGAGAGGGGAAAGGATTCCCCTCTTAGCCTGCAATACTGCGTCTAGGGGTAGTGGGAGCCCAATGTCCTGGCAGGTCCAATCCTTTCAAGGCGGTCGGGTTGGTTTATCTTTGACATGTCGTTTCGGACCACGCTCCCTTCCCGCAGTTTACGTCTTTTGTGTGGTAGCACCTTGTGTGCTGGCGGTCTCGTGTGGAACTCGGTCTCTATGAGGAGCAACTTTGGCATTCTCTCGCTGGCAACCTGGTTGTGTCGTGCACATTCAGGTTTTAGGGTGAACCACTTTACCTTGATGATGTGACGTCATTCGATCCGGGACGAGAGGGTAGGTGCGTATTTTGGGGTCTCAGATGAATGGCATTGTATCGAGGTTGTTCCATACATGAGTGGGCAAGGCCTCGTTTCCTCTCACGATTGCGTCTTCCCCAAGATTATAAGGATTTATTGGAATAGGTCGTGGTGGTGGACGTTGACCTGGATGGATCAAGATGATCTTCATGTTTCTTTCTTAGCTTGCTTGTGATTCGTTTGGCCCATGGGCTATTCTGTTCGCACCTTGTAACAGCCAGCCGCCTATTTCAACTCTTAGGTTATTCAGTATGCAAAGACCTTGTTAATCAGTACATCAGTGATACGAAAAGCAAGCATTCTTCTCCAGCTGATGTACCAATCACTACTACTTAATTAGTGAAAGATACGTTGGGCTCTTTTCAATTCTCCACCAAGAGGTGGGCAACTATTTCTTTTAACACTAGACTTCAGATCGACCTCCTATTGGTTTCTTCTCGGTCTCCTCAACTAGCCGCCTGGGGTTTTATGACTTATGTGTTTCCTTGTTCTTATCTTTGTAAATTGTAAGACGTTGATTGTTGTTATCCTGGTCGGTTGATGGGCTCACCTCGTGTCTTCGTTAAAAAGAAGTATTTTGACAACATGGTGTGTGAAACATGACCATCAACCAATACATCCTTGTATGAATAAACTATTTTATGGATTTTGACAACTATGTCACATGCTTTGTGATTCCTAATCAACACAAGAGACCATTCCAAGAACATTATTGAGTAAATAATCAATACCATTTCAAAAGTCTACCCCCAAATCCTAGACCATCGCCTTCATTGTACACAAAAAGATATAGCAAAAATGGTGCAGAGGAATTTGCGAGCACAAGCCGGCAGAAAGTTGTGTTCTTCAATAGAGGTGCTTGCATGGTGGTAGATGGCCGCACGACACATTTGTTGAAGTATACTTGGCTAGGGGATGCACCCATGGCCTTAGAGCATCTACGACCGGACTCGGCAAATCCGGCCCCTCAAACACCCGCGGGATGCGTCTGTGGCACTAACCGGGCACCCTTCAAATAATGCAATCCACATCCGGACACCTTTATTGTCATATCTCAAATTCATACAAACTCAAGCAACTACGTCAATGCACACACATTGTCCGATTATGCTTTCGAGCGAGGGCACACATGTTCCTCCGCTGTCGTTTTTTCACAATGCGGGCGCGAATGGCTTCCTCCTTTGCGGCCGCCCGCGCGGATGCATCAGCCGCCTCCGTCGCCTCCATTTCCATCGCGATACGGGGCTCGGCGACCCTTATCACCTCCTTCCCACGGCGGGCCGCCCGGTCCCGGCCGGACTCATAGTCTG